AGGAATTAGCAGCAGGAGGGTCACCCTGGCAAGGGCAGGCCAAAGAACATCTCATTTCTGGCTGCTTTTACACACGTTAAGCCAACCAGTGGCAAGAGGGAGAGCCGCTGATGAGACAGAAGCCACGAGAAGCGAGCCGGCAAGGCGGACGGAAAGCAGCCTTTGCTCTGTCTGCCGTGTGTCCTCCCGCCAAGCGAGGGACAAGGTCCTTCAGGGGGAGGAGGGGTAACAACTGGGCAGCAAGGCAGATCCTGGTGGGCAGCGGGGGCTGGAGAGTGAGCCTACTCTGCATCCACCCCCAGGCAGAAGCTCCTGAGTCCGAGGAACGGAGCTCAGCACCGCTCAGGTCAGGTCTGGCCTGGCTACATCAGTGTCATGGCCAAGGGGCAACTGGCTCAAACACAAGCAGCCCCCGTGTCAGGAGCTTGGTTTGGTTTCATTTTTTACCACTGGGATCTTCCCAGCACCAGTCAGGTCCTTGTGCCCCACTAATAGCCTCCTCTCGGCTCACAGTTTGAACACTCCAGGCTCATGGACTGAGCATGGGTCTGGGACTCAGGAACCCACAGACTGTAACTCATTTGGTCGCCACGCTCTGGACACCTAACCTCAGATCCCAGCTGTGCAGCGAGGAAGATCTGCCTCAGCACTGTGTCTCCAAGGATGGGTTCTAGGTCTCGGAAAGCGATAGGAAGGGACAACGAACTGTGCAAACGCTAAATACTCCAACACAATCCAATCAGGGGTCCATAGAAATAATCACATTCACATGCGCCTTCTCTTCCCTACCGACTTTCGCTACTTCACTAAACATCAGATTCATGGGAATTTTGCCCAAGGCACAGGTCCAGATTGAAGACCAACACCAGTGATCTGAGCCACACAGGGCAACATTTGCAAACACACCCACGTCACTTCAGAGCCTAAGTTTCATTGAAAGTTAATGGGACTTGGGCTCTTCACACAGAGGCGCTTTTTAAAAGTTTTACCAACAAGGTCCAGGTTTTAGTTTTTAATTCGACATTTCAAGCCTGTGCGATTTTTTTTTTTTAATTGCGCTGTTCTAAAATCCTGGGGGGAAGGAATTCTGTTAAGGGAGACTGTCAAGCCACAAATGCCTGGGAAAAGAACAGTGACTGGGTTAGAGTTATTCCATCTGAACTAATACTAGGGATGCAAGCTGGGGCTACGTTTCAAAGGCTGAGGCGCTGCATGGAGCCCGGGGCCAGCAGGGAGTCCCCAGTGGGTGCAGGAGCAGTGAGTGAACCGCCCCCTCCCGTACACATGCATGTGCGTGATGCAGAGAAGCACATGGAGCAGCCAGACACTCTTAGCCCTGGGACTGCAGCAGGCAGGGAACCTCCTGAGGATCCCACTGGGTGCCACCTAAGCACCTCCTGGCCAGAGCCTGCTTCCGGCACCCCACCCCCTCCTGTACCTCAACTCCCAGCCCCAGCTCACCCCCCAAACCCTCTGCACTCCTCTGCCCCAGGTCACAACTCCCTCCCAGACCCTGCACCCCTCCCCCAGGCCAGAATCCTCTCCTGCACCCATACCCATGCCTGTATCCTGCACACTAATCCCCCTCCTTCACCCAAACTCTCAGACCCTCTACTGAACTCCAGTCTCCTATCCTAAGCTCCCTTCTGCACCCAATCTCCATCCCAGACCCCGCACCCTATCCAGGGAGAAGTGCAGCCCTTGGCCACTTACCAAAATCTTAGATTGGCCCCTCATGAAATATTGCGCACTCGGATGCAGAAGGACCCAGCAATTATATACACGAGATCTCCAAGGGGGGATGGAATCTATGATACATAGACCAATTGCTGGAGCCATAGGTTAGATTAGCGGCAACAGGTCTTCTCCTTTCCTCCCTCAACATCTGTTGAGCCTGTTTTACCTATTACAAAAACTGCGATCAGCATTTGCCTGGTGTATTTCCCCTCTCCAACAGAGGGCAAGCCACAGCTTAATACACACGTACCTTGTGTGGTGGAAATTCTGCCAACTCACAAAAATTGTACAGCCCTTGCATCCATCTCCAGTGAAAGTGAAATTTCATACAGTCAAGGTGCTCCGCAGATTTCCCTCCTCACTGCAACCACAAGCAACCCCTGAAGCCGCAGAGGCAGAGCGAGCAGACACCGATGAGCAGTGCAGTGCTGCCCTCTAGGGATCCTTCGCAGAAGGACATTTCTTAGGGTGGGATGGGGGAGGGGAAACCAATCCCCAAATCCCTGAAAGTTTGTGCACAAAAGCACAAGATTTTGCCAAGTGGCTTTAAGACCCACTTGCACGGGTGATGGAACAAGAGCTCTCCCGCCCAAGCGCCTCTAGCAATGCAGCCTTCCATTTATGACGTTGGAGGTGCTAATGCAATGACCCATCTGTCGTGACTTCACTGGAAGATCACGGAAAGAAAACATGTCAACAAGGAAATCTCTGTGTTTAAGCAAGAAAGGAAAGATCAGGAAAGCTATGGAAGGAAGTGAGCGAAGAACTCCTGATGCAGAGATGGGTTTCAACGCTTTCCCTGGTGAGAAGAGGGGAGTCAGAGTCAGTCTAAATCAAGGAAAAGTCTAAAACAACGCCCACTAAACCTCAAGACGACCGGAAGGAAGTACATTTATGCCAGCATAGGTGAGTGAAGGGCTTTGTTATGGGAAGTGAGTTCGATTCAACATTCATCTTCCAGAAGGCTCTCCTCCTGTTTAGTGCAATGCTCTCTAGAAGCACAATGGCCACAGACCATTACGGTTACCACAGAGACCAATCTTTGATTAGTAAGTGCAACAAGTTACTACAGAAGTCTCACCTGAGGCCCATGGCAAAGGGCAGTGAATTGAATGGTCTCAGCGTAGCCCCTGGGGGTGTCGCAGGGCTGCCGAGCTACATTAGCAGAACTCTGAGGACTGAGATAGCACAAAGTAGGTGTGTCTGCATCACTGGACAGTCGACTTCCCTGGGCAAATCAGTGCTGCCCACCCACCACCCTGATCAGCACAAAACTGATTTGAGATGAGCCTCATTAGGTGGCTGCTTGTCATTAGCTTACGCCGACACCCCCCATTAGCTCACTGTGCTACGATATTAGCAGGGTGATCTGCTCTGTCACTGACTCTTCACTCTGGATTTCATCAGCCCTTTGCACTGCCAACGTTAACAGGGTCAGAGCATGTTACCGCCTGCAGGAAGCTTTTGTGGCAAAAAAGGCTTCAGGTCACGGCTCCATTCAGTGACCTCAAGAAGAGGAGCAGAGACAAGGTATTAGACTGAACTTCTCCCCCCGCCCCCCAATGTAACTGCAGGGAGCAGCTGGTAGAGCTTGCTCTTCAGGGCCCCCTCCCACCCCTGCCCAGAATCCTCTGACCGGGTGTATTCCCCAAACTGGGTCTGAAGGCGGAATTGGACCTGGCTGGGCCCAATCAGGCAATTAAGCAACAAATGAGGGGAGACAAGCTGCGCAGAGCGCGCCAAGTGGGAAGCAGCTCACCTCTGAAGGAAGAGGCCCACATAAAGCCCAGTAGCTCAGAGCAGAAAGAGGCCTCCAGCCTTCTTATACCCAACAAAAACAAACCAGGATCCTGCCCTACCCCTTCCCTAAGGCCATGCCCTGCACACTCCACTCTCACTGGGTGCAGCGGGGATTTGGGAAGGGATGCAGACTTGGGGGGGGTCAGTGTGGGAAGGGCTCTGAGCTGAGCCTGGGAGATGGGGGGAGGGGTGGGGTGCATACCCTGGGAAGAAGCTTGAGAGAAGGCTTCAAGCCAGAGCAAAGTGTGGGGTGGAGGAAGGGGTTTGGGGTGCTGGGCCCCGCTGGGCAGCACTTGCCTCGGGCAGCTCCTGGTCAGTGGTACAGCCGGGCTAAGGCAGGTTTCCAGCCTGCTGCGACTCCAGGCTACTCCCAGAAGGGGCCAATGGGCCCTGCAGTCCTGGGGGCACAGCTCCTTTCTGCAGGCATTGCCCTCAGCCCACACTGAGCACAGGTCCCCATTCCTGGCCAATGGGAGCTGCAGGAGCAGGTCCCCGAGATCCCTGCCCAGGCCCACAGGGATGCTGGCTGCTTCTGGGAGCAGCGTGGAGCCAGGGCTGTCAGGGAGCCTGCCTTAGCAGCAGCCCTGCTGCACCACTGGAGATAGCGACCAACCAGGAGAGTCTCCAGGATCCACATCGCGGTGGTGCCACTCCGGGGGTTCCACAGCCACCCCCATGGGTAGTAGCGAGGGTAACAACTTCCCGGCAGTTGGGTGCATGGCATGTGCACACCTCAACTGGAACACGTCTGAGCAAGCACTCCAAGAGCCACCTACAGTTACTCCTGGGGCAGAGGGAGATGAAAATCTGGAAACCCTCAGGACAGAGTCCCGGGGAGGATGAGGAAAGGGCCAGGGAAAAGCAGTCAAGTCTAGAAGGGAACACTCCTTGGGTTCCCCCGCCAGTCACTGAAGAGGAGGCGCCATGGGGCAGAGAAAGGAAAACTGTCCAAGACCGAGGAGTGGCAATGAGGCAGCGAATGGGAGCACAGTTTAAGATTGCTGGTGAATAAGTGGTACCCCGGAAGGGGAAAACCCAGATAATGACCTGGCTGGAGGGCCACGTGCAAAGAGGCAGCAGCAGCTCAGAATGAGAGGGGGCTACAGCTAGAGAGAAGAGGTGTGTCACTGAGGAGGCGCACAGTAAAGCTAACCCCCAGAATGGTCCAAAGGAGGTGTCATCCTAATAAATGCGGTCACAAGCTACAGGCAAGCACCACCAAAAGCTCCTAAAACAGGCGCCTGTGTCACTTTCCACTTCCTGTTACAGGGGCACAGCCAAGGGGGGACAATACAGAGCTGAGCTGAAAACAAGTGTGTGTCAACAAGAGGCTCAGGTCCTCTACATCCACTAAACCATTTGCCAGCATATTTCTGTGCCACCCTACCTGCAGGCAGAGCTTCCCACTGAAATGGAAACAGCCTTTCTCCTCACAACATCTCACCATAACACAGGGCCGTTACCTTTCAGGAGTTGTGGGTGTTTGGTATGAACCAGTTTGGTGAGGTCTCCACCGTCATCCAAGATCATGTTTAAGGGCTGCCCATCCTTGAAGTAGAGGGTCTGCTCGATGCACCACAGGTATTCCTCGTCCGTCTCCCCCTTCCAGGCGAACACTGCACCGCAACACACACAAGAAATAATTAGTTGAGCCTCTTACCCAGTGCGTCCGTGTTCCAGTTCCAGCAGCAGCAGCAGCACTCGGTGCCAGAGTCAAAGGACGAGAGTAATCAGGAGTGATTAGCCTGGAGGCAGCGGTAAGAACGGACTCTGTTCGCAGCTGAAAACGGCTCCCTCAGAGCAAGCAGGATACAATTAGCTTTGCCTCAGGTTCCGGGCCACAAAATTATGGGCTCTCGGTCAGAGCCTACCAGACACTCACTTCTCTCAAAATAAAATAAAACGACAGATAAATGAAGCCATGCAGCTACGCTACCGTTCCCCACCTTCGCCCAATTTCAGAGCCACCAACATCTCCCACGCCTTCTCAGGCACTTGGTCACATGCCTCTTTACACCCCAGGCAATCGGCTACTGCAGAGGAGCACTCGGTTCTGTTGATTTGGTGTCTTGCAGCAGGGCCCACAACACACTGCAGACTCACACACGCTTCACTGTTCAGTACTGCCAGCTCCTTCGGCAGAGGCACTTGGCAAAGCTACATGTGAGGTGCCACGTACCTCTACAACCACGGCCTGATATGTTCAATATGCAAAGCGCTAGCTAGAAAAACCAAGAGGGACTCGAACTTGCCAATATTGGAAACTCAAGGCAGAGGCCAAGCAGCAAGGCCAACAACCCATCCCTAACTTCTCAAGATGGAACAGAACAGGAGGGGCCATTCCACCATGGAGACTGGCTATGGCATGAGTGACATCAAACCTTGCCTCCCAACTGGCCTGTCTCCAGTCTGAGTCCCTTGGTGTGCAAGGGCAGGACTATTTAAAGAGGAAGCCACAAAAAGCAAACAAGAAACTGGGATTGACCCGGTGGCTGGTGTGGTGGGGTCTGGGCTGTCAGCCGGCAGCTGCTTCCCAGGGCTGGGGTGCTTGCTGCCCCCGTGGTCATTTGTGAGTATAAACCATCCCCTGTGCTTCCTGCCCCTCTGTGCTCATTTGTGAGTAATAACTGTCCCTGCTCACACCCCCTCCCTGTCCACTTGATGCAAGACAATCTCATTCCACACACATTCCCATGACCCTGCTCAACCAAACCCTGACCTTACTTTAAGTTATGGTCAGAGGGAGCTGCACGCCCAATTCAGTGGTCCTACCTCTCACTCTTAGGAGGAGCTCTTGAACAAACAGACTCAGACCGACAGACACACACACATACAAACTCTAAAATATATATATTAGATTACCCTTAAAGGGGATTGGGACCCTCAAACATCACTGAGTTCTGAGCTCAAAGAAACACAGATACAGTAAAGCCTGTGTTATCCAGCACACTCGGGGATTAGGGTGTTCCGGTTATCTAAAAATTCCGGTTATCTGAGGGTCCCATCAACCTAGGAAAAACCAATGGACAATAATAGTAAAACTCAAGTTTTTAATATTGGTAGTTTTGTAGTGTGAGGCAGTTGGTCTCACATTTCTATTTTGAGTTAAAGATGATTAGTACTTCTTAAATAAAAAATTGTTAAGCCAATCATGGTAAACCAAGCCAGGCCTGAGCGCCTAAAGATGTGCCAGTATTGTGACTGGGGGCAATACCGGTTAACAAAGTTTTCTGGTTAACAGAGTGCCGGATAACAAAGGTTTCACTGTACTTTAAGAGAAACATGGCTGAAATTAGGTTGATACCCCAGAAAATTGCCCACTTCTGCATAGCTTCCAAATTTAACCATAACCTGGTTGCAGGCCCTGCAGTATCTCAAGCTTGCTCTCCCCCCGGGACAATGTATCAAACTTGTGACAAAACTCATCTGAACTGGGTTGTGTTGAGTGATTTGCCAATAGAATTGCATGATCCTTGAAACTTACATTTCAGTCCAAATTATAAACCACAATCTGAACATTAATTATAAACCACAATAAATAACAGTAGCTATTATATTTACATATTTATCCATTGGTTCTGAAAATATAGTCACATCATACATACATGGGGAGTTTAAAGAAAAATCCATTTTGTCATACAATGGATTCTAATTTAGCAACACAGACATAACATTTTTTTAATCTCAGAAGCATGCCTTGGTTATACTATATGTTTAGCAAAATACATATTTAAATGTTTCATTAACTGGATTCCTACAGGCACTAGTGGATAGATACCAATACTTAGACTGAGCAGTTCGCTTATTACATACGCTTATAGGACCATTGCTAGCTGGTAAATTCAACAACACTGGGAACCGCTAACTACACAGGCATACGGCAGCTATCCCGAAAGGGACTGAAGCCGACAACAGAAAATCCCATTTTCACACATCAGCGTGCAGCAAGACTAGGCGTAAAGGCAGATGCCACAAAACGCAAACAGGAGACTGGGACTGACCTTCTTTCCAAGGTGAGTGAGTTTCTGATGGCCTTTTGCATACAGTGAACTCAAGCATTTGGAGTTACTGGATTCAAAACACCTGGGATTTTTAGCATCAACAGCTGCTCTTCCACTCAAGAGGAAAAATTCCTTAAGCAGAGACTACTCCAAAGCCTTCATCACAGTGAGGGGTCTTCAGAGCACGTATTCATATTGATCCAAGCTACAAGTTACGTTATCACCTTCCAGTCTACAGCAGCATCACAACAGCAGAGTTTAACCTGCTGAGCAGCTTTGGGGATGGCAGTCTAAACATAGCAGGCATACCTTTGGGGTCAGCACATCTAATGCTGCCACCGTAGCCAACCGGAAAGGACACTGCATTGAATATTTTGGGACCAGCATATTCTCTTTAGCCCGTTAGCCCTGGATCTGCTGGCAAGCCCCAGACACGCTACTCCATAAATACCATCTACAGCCTTCATTTTTATCATCTGACAGCTTCATCACTCAAGGGTATGTCTAAACTGCAGCCTAGGCCCACTCACCCCGTTCCTCTTGCGCTAGCACTGGCAGAGCCCAGTCTGCTGTCAGAGCCACATCCCTGCCTCTTTTTTAACGTGCTAGTTTCAGCTGTGCTACCGGAGGTCATCTACCCAAACGTGCTCCCAGCTGCAGCCTAGAGAGCCGTAATGACTAGAATTAAGGCAGCTGCTAACAGATGTTTTAGTTGGTTTTGCAGGATCAGCCAGTCTCGAGATACCGGGATAGCTGCTGAATGCAACTCCGCTTGGATTAAACTTCCTATGGTGTAAGGGACGCTGCTTTGAGGAGTTATTCCTATCCTGGAGTTTATTTGTACATGCTTTGATTAGCTAAAACAGGCAGCCGCAGGTTGCCCACCTGCGGCCCATTGGGTTTCTATGTGCAAGACACTGTTTCCCGCTGCCCATGCGCCAGGTTGCCAAATTCTGCTGTTTTCTGTCCACGTAGTCTTTTTCCTACTGGTATTACAGAAGTGACATGCATGTAAAGCAAGGGCGCGTGAAGCGAGGTGCGTGCTGATTGCACACAGCACTGACTGCAAGAGCTGCACGCTCCCCCGCAGCCAAGCGCTGCTGTGGGTCAGTCGGCGCCCCTCACAAATTCTAGGTAGTGCAGTGAGCAAAACTACCCTCTCCTGGGAGACCCTTTTGATTATGACAATCTTGTGGCCCATGGAGATAAAGGAGGGCCACACATGCAGTCCCCCTCATTAGCCTAGGTTGCCCATCACTGACAAGCCAAATGAGACCACAAGACTTACCAGGAACACCGATGTTAGCAATGGCAGCGGCAGCATGGTCCTGAGTGGAAAAAATGTTGCAGCTGGACCACTGTACCTGGAACAGAACCGAAGACAAGATTTACTTGTTGAGCCAACTTCTTACAGAGCAGGCAAAATACAACTGGTCTTTGCGCTAGTTGTAGGAGCTAAATGAAGAGGAGCAGGGAGAAGAGTAAATCAGCCCAAATTCCTGCTTCATCCGGCTAGTATGTAGAGGCCTCTAACTTTGACCACAAGAAATCAGCCCAGAAAGGGCAGTTTGAGTTTAGGTTCCTTTTCTTAGTGATGAAAAGCCACAACACATCACACGCTCCAGTCTCACTATGTGTGAAAGAGTCTGTTGCACACACACTCCACTGCACTTACTAAGTTATAGACAGGGCTAGGCTAGAACAGTGTAGTTGATTAACTGATAAGCAAAAGCTTACTGGTTAATGCTAGAGACTACACACAACTCCCCTACCCCTAGTAAATTTTTAGCAGGCTGGCCAGCAGCCCGGCTCAGTCCTGGCTCACGCTGGGTTAAGGACTCTGCATTTCAAGTGTATTAGGAGCCAGGGTGGGCAGGCAGCCTGGCTCAATTTCAGCTTGTGCCCGGTCAGGGCGTTCAGACCTCCCCCCCACTCCGGACAGGAGCTGCTGTCACCCTGTTGCATGGGGAAACAGTTTATAAACTGGCTCCCCTCCCACCTGGCAATCCATGCTGCCATGTCTGATACACGGCAGTGGCAGGAGGCTCCTTGGGAGTAGCTGCTGGCCCCACCCACGGGGACTATAGAATAGTTGAGTAACCAATAAGAATTCATGAGGTTACTCAACTATTCAATTAACCGATATTTAACACCCTTAGGCAGGGCCCTACCAAAAACACATCATGGACTGCAAAAATGTGGTCTCCCCTGTGAAATCTAATCTTCTATGTACTTTTACCCATACCATAGAGTAAAAGGATGGAAAATACACAGTAATTCTCAAACAGGAGGTCCTGACATAAAAGGCACTGCAAGGCACGCGCATGCATGCAAGTGTGAGAGTGTGTGGGGAGAGGGGAATCGCACAATTGCCACCCTTACTTCTTTAAGGCCTTCAGAGCTGGGCAGCCAGAGACTGGCGGCTGCTAGCTAGGCACTCAGCTCTAACACCAGCACAGAAGCAAGGGTAGCAATACTAACCTCCCTCTTTGCCTGGGATCCTTAGTCAAGAAATGCTGACTCCGGCTTTACATGCTGATATTTTGCTGGTTTTATACCTATTCCCCACTTTGTTACAACTCAATGAAATTTAAGATTTACTTGTGGGATACTGCTGTATCCAAATCTCAGCATGGCATTTGAGAGGCAGCATGGCTCAGTGGTTAGGGCAAGGGCCTAAACGTAGGAAACATGAGTCCTAATCTCACCTTTCTTACCAATTAAGTTTTCAACTCCCAGCTTGACAAAGCCCTGGCTGGAATGATTATTTGGGGTTGGTCCTGCTTTGGGCAGCGGATTGGACTTGATGACTCCAGAGGTCTCTTCCAGCCCTAGGATTCTACATTCAAGATTTTTTAAATTCTACGACCATGACAATTATAAAAACAAACTGATGCAGCAACAGTTGGGTAGGGACCCAGTTATAGATGTTCACAGAATGCAGAATATGGCTGTGTAATAAAAGTTTTGGTCACGTACAAAGCGAATGCATCTGGAATACATTTGAGGCATGTATGTTGTGTGCACAATTAAGGAACTGAATAGGCGACAGTGCAAATGCAGAAACCTGGAGTAGCCAGAAATGCAGGGGAAAAGGCCATGTGCAGTTAAGAAGAATGTAAGATTTTGCTCACCCAGCTCTTCTGTGTTTTTTTCCAGCTGGCCTAACTGCATTCCACACACAAATCTCCCCTCTAAGCTGAACTGAACAGAACAGAGTGTTTGTGCACCTATTTTAATGCCCCAATCAATTCTAGAATCTGCTATGCATAATGGAAACACAAAAGTCATTGCTGAACAGGCTGTTTGCTTGTAGCCTTAATTGCCCTCTCAAATGAGCGCAGTGATGGCTTTCTGCATGTTTATTCAAACTAACTAGCTTGTTAAAGGAAGCAATCCTTCCACCCTTACAGAGATAGTCCCACTGAAATCAGTGGAATGACCCATGCAAGTAAAGGCTGCAGTGTCAATGCCAAATGTGCCCGTATTTGTGCCAACAAGCACTCAGATGCACGTGCGTACATGCCATGTGTGCACTGCTTTTATGTGCGTAATTGGAAGCATGTTTGAAAATTTGGCTCATTTTCTTTCTGAGTCAGTTCACCCAGCTTCATCCTCAGTGCCTTTCTCTGAACTCACTCCCATCTGTCAACATCTTCCAGGGACCCAGAACCCAAGCATGTTACATGTGTATCCAACAAGTACGTTAGCACCTGGAGGAAAATTCTTGCCAATAGTCTATAGATCACTTTCCAATCATGCAGCCTGGAAAAAAAAAAAGCCACAATGCACTTCTCTGCTGGAGATACGTGTATGGCTCCTGTTACCGGAGCATCAGCTGCTCTGAATTGAAAACATATTTATCTTCCACACTCCATTGATGGAAAGGAAAATGCTCACATCTATTCTACAGATAGGGAACTAAGGCACATAGAAACCAAGCGACTCACTAAAGATCATACACAAACTTCAATCCAGGCTTCCAGAATCCCAGCCCAGCAGTGTGAACTCTGGCGCATCCTTTCCTCCACAACAGTCATACCTAGCTTGAAAGCCAGAGGCTGCACTCAGATGGATTCAGAACCTTGTTTGATGATTGTCAAGTGACAGATTAGTTTTTAAACACAGATTGAGCAGTTTAAGAAACAGTCACTTGAGATTGGATGTTTCCAGCAGCCTGATAACATTGCTTGGTATCACAGCTCAGGACCCTGATCTGACAGCAGCCTCTGTCCCTAAACTGGGGACAGGATTACTCTCATGCCAGAATGGGCATTGGAGATCGGGGCACCTTCTGCTGGCTGACATGGTGCACTGGAATTAGGATCCTAGAGGAGAAATGCCACGTTTCCCCTGGGAAAAGGAGGAGGCACCCCCTGTTTGCAAATAGCAGCGTGCTCTCCTTCAGAAGGGAATGCAGATGTGTGCTAAGAGTCCCTGGTGTCATTACAAAACGCAAAAGCAATATTCACACCATAGTGTCACTTAACGACACACTGAGGAGGCAACCCAAGAGGGCACTTTACCTCAGCACCTAGCGCCAGCAGTGTTTCTATCAGCACTGCAGTCTGCACCGTCATGTGGAGGCAGCCGGCGATCCGAGCGCCCTTCAGCGGCTTAGAGGCAGAGTACTTTTCCCGCATCTTCATCAGCCCCGGCATCTCATTCTCCGCGATCTCGATGGCCTTGCGACCCCATTCTGCTAGGCTGATGTCAGCTGCAACAGAGACAACAGGTGGTTTTGGGCCTGAATGCATGAAACCACAGTATCCACTCTCACACATTTGCAAGTTGGCACTGGCTGCAAGGGCTAGGGAGCCATCAAATAGGATGTGAAGCAACAGCTGAGAGAGAAGGCCCAGTGTTTTCCCCTCCCCCTTCTGAAGTCTTTGAACAGTGTAGATCTTCATGCAACCAAGCTTCTTCAGCTAAGTGCTTTCAAATGCACTGAAAGCCAAGAATCTAAAGCCAAGCGTCTACGATCCTTATGTAGGTATGCAAGTTAGAAGCAACCAAGCTTTCAATATTACCAGCCCTCTTCACTTACACACTTGCCTGTAAGCACTTGCATTCACAAATTTCAACCTGTGTCTAAAACTATGTGCGCAGATTAGTTTTTGGAGCATAAAGATGTGTGCATGTAACACAATGTGATAAATGGCTTCCACACCGGATTCATGCAGAATATTTCATGCAAGAGGCCTAAGGAGTGGGAAAGAGCCCAGTTCCACAGTCATTGCAGCTGTTAGGAAAGACTTCCCCATTTAGGGATGTTCATGTTTAATTTAATAATTGTGTACCCACACAAAATCTTATTGGTTACATGATAATTCAGTGGTCCCCAGGGGCGGGGCCAGCAGACAGTGTGCTCCCAGCCCCACACTACCCCTTGCTGCTGCCTCTGTACCCTAGAGGGGGAAGCCTCGCTCTGGAGAGTGCAGGAGTGGAGTGAGATCAAAGAGGTATTGGGTGAGGGCGTGGTGGGGTAACAGGGCAAGAGGGTATTGGCATGGGCTGTAGGGGTCAGAGGTTAAAGGGTCAAAGGGCATAGGGGTGGGAGTCAAAGGGTGTTAGACACTGGGGAGCAAGGGTTGGGGCTAGCTGGACAGATAACATTTTATTTGCATATTTATTATTTGCATAATGAATATTCAAATAAAAACTTACCAGTCCGCCAAACATTTGTGAACTGACTAGAGCACGGCTTGAAATGAATGGAGATGCCTATCCCCTAGAACTGGGAGGGAGGGGTGGAGTCCAGCCCCTGCCTGCACAGCAGGGCCAGGAACGTCCCTATTTCTGCCCCCATCCCTAATGGCCTATTGAA